GGTGGGACCACCACATTAATTAGTAAGCTGTCTTTGAATTAAAAGATGAAGTTGCCACTGTAGACGTAGTGTGAAAAATAGAAGATAGGAGAAAAAAACCAAGAGAGAAAGAAAGAAGAAGAGGCAGCAGAGTAGCCTGTGTTCTTCCTTCGATTTCCAGCTTGTTCACCGTTAGATCGGGCTAAGATTTTAACGGCAACTTCTAGACACGTTACTCTTCATTCAAGATGATTGGATCGAAGATTGATGGTGTGTAAACTGGCCGTTTTGCTAGAAAATAGGGCTATCAGTATTGTGAGTTTTTCTCAAATAATTGTCCTTTAATCTTGTTGTAATCCGAGAATAAGTTGTTCTTCATGATATATAAGTTGTATCTCTTAGTTGAATATGAGGAAGAATAATTATAAACCTATTATTTATTGATAGTGGAAGTTTTTAGGTGGACTACGATCTCATGGTTATTCCCGCATCGGGTTTTCTACGTTAAAATCATGGTGTTAATTTGTGTGATTATTTGTATTATATTTGATCACTGTTTTATTCTGATTTTACTGCATAAAGAGGGAAAGGATTGAGACTTGTATTCCGCTGAATTGTAATCTAGGTAAATTAGTGTTCGGTTGTTCCTAGTTTTCCCAACAGAAACTGACTAGTGGTGCAATAGATAAAAGTTCTTTTTATAGGTGGCAGATCTTTGAGATATGATCTCTAAGAAGCTCAAGCAGCAATGTTTTTGGGTGGGACAAAAAAAAATAGAGTGTGAGGGATCATAGGGAGAGAGAGTGAAGAGCAAGTGAGTCTTAGATACGGAACTATAAACTAAAAGAATTAAAACAGGAAATAAAGAAGCTAAGAATTAAAACAAACTAAAAAGAAGAATGTGGATTAAAAAATATGCAACTCAGTAATTCTTTAATTATTTCATCAAAAACTTCATAATATTTAGAAAAATAGGATATCAATATTAATTCTCTAACTCATTTGGTCTTATTGTGTTAAACCCCTCTTTTTGTATATCCTTATCATCTAAACCACTAAAATCCTCAAGATTGAGTTCATATAATTGAACATAATAATTTTTTTTCCACCTATATCCTTTTATTCTTGTATGACTAAGGGTTTAGAGGTACAATTGACAAAGCCAGGACCAAAACTTTGACTTTTAGCACATCAAACCTTTAAATTCATCGTAAAATATTTCATTGATAATTTATTTACCTTTATTTTTCTTTTTATAAGCATCTCATAGTATTAGTGTATTATGTACTCACTAATAGATTTGTTCTTTTGTTTAAGATTATTCTATTGGTGTAAAAGTTTAATCATATAAGATTGGAATAGGTGCTTCTCCTCTAATTTTTATTTTATTTTATTTTATTTCAATAAATGATTGGAGGTTTACTTATCTCTAGATAATTCTTAACATCTTTCTAATAAAGTTAGGCTTTAATAATGAGTTTCATCTTAAAAAAAATATAACTTTTCTATTTTTAGACAAGTTATGCAACTCAAAGAAGTGATTCATGTTACAAATTAACATATTAAAGATTCGAGAGTTATGATGATCGTCAAAAGTGAAGGTTTTTATTTTGTCAAGGCTTATGACTTTCTCATCAAGGCCATCATGTCTTAGAATAACCTAAATAATTGTCATACTGATAGCACTTGGAGTGAGCTTGCCTATAACAGTTATTTCTGTAATATTTACTAATCTTTGGGTGCTTTATTTGAGAATTCTCTAAAGGTTGAATTCCTTCTATATAGCCCTAAGAGTATCACTAAGAGTTGAATCCACGGTAAACATAGACTAGGGTTGGACACTTGATGATTATGACATTGAAATTGAGATCATAAAAAAATTTTACTAGTGAAATCACAATATAAAAATAAAGCTAATCTCATTTTTATTTTTAACATCAAGATTAATTAAGATTAGAATACATTAGGAAGATTATAAGCATGCAATGCTATACTTTTTAAGTATAAATGATTGATCAAATACAATGTTATAAATAAAGACTCACAATAAACAAAGAAAACTATATATTAGATATATGGCTAGATACCAATGATAAAAGTGATTGATAAGAAAAAATTAACATATAAAAATATAAAAATGGAAGATGATTTTTTTTTAGGCACAGAAGTAAATTAATGACAATAAGTGCAAACTAGAAAAGTAAAATTAAAGGAAAAGAAATTTATTGACCAAGACTTAAACCATCAAACTCAATATGGATAAAAATTTTTGGAACACAAAACCTCTTGTTATTTAATACCCCACTGAAGCAATGGTGTCTTTACTGGTACAATCTTTTTTTGCTGTTATTACTTTGATATTTTTTTACACTGTCATGATATATATATATATATATATATATTAGTCCCTAGAAAAATCAAAAGAGTAACGATATAAACAGAATGTATTTTAAACTGAAGATATTTTAGTCCCTAGAAAAATCAAAAGAGTAACAATATAAACAGAATACATTTTAAACTGAAGATATTTTAGTCTCTAGAAAAATCAAAAGGGTAACGATATATATCTTTAGCTTAAAATGCATTCTGCTTCTTTCTTTCTTTTTTAATTAAAATAAAGCTTTAGCTTTTCACCCACTATGCTTTCTTTTGATAAAAAAAATACGCCCTATTGATGCTAGACCTTCTGCTGGAATATCATGGACTCCAACTCACAAAATATTGGCTTGCTTTAAACAAAGTCTTCGGCTGTAAGGGATATGCATGTATTTTTCTTTAAAAAAAACAAACTCTTACTGACAAGATCGGATGGTGATTGGATCTGACTTTGAAAGGAAATTGTTTGTGGAGGCTGCTGTAATTTCAGGAAAGCAAATCTTGTGGCTTGTTTTTTCTAGGGAGAGGCTGTCGAGTTGTGATATGGATGGTAGGTGATGTGGTTTGTGTGGTTGAATCGTGGTTCTCAGCTTGTGGTAGATTTGGGCAGCACACCTCTTCTTTTTTTAAAATCTATATTGATAAGAGCTTCCCATAAAATAATCTAGGGTTTACAAACTGTTAATGAATTTGAGGATATTGTGAGTGATCATTTAGTAGTTGTGAGAAAGAAAAAAAATTGATACAAAACTAAAAAGAATAAAAAAATAAAAAAAATAAGAAATAAGAAGCTAAGAAGAAGAAGAAGTCAAAGAAATAAAAGAAAAGACTGCTCAAGATAAAAAAAAAAAAAGGGTTTAAAAAAATTTACAAATTTTATTCAATTTAATAAAAACTTTCAAACATTTACAAAAATAACATATAAATACTAAATCCTAACTAGAACAAGTAATTGAACTTATAACCCACTAAATAAAATGTTTAATAATAACTAAATTAAATTCAATAAATAATCTCAAATAAAATCCAAGGTTGGACCCTATTATCATAAATCATACAGAACTATATCTTGGTTCAATATCTCAGTTATATTAGCAGGGCTTTGAACAAATATGTTATGCAATTTGAAGTACAACCAGCTATTGGAAATGAATTTTACACCTATCAAAAAATCATATGGACTACACTTACAAGTTATTTGAAATTCTATAAATTGAATTTAATTAATTTTTTAATAAAAGTTTATGTTTGGAATAATTTAGAGTGTCGAGAATTGAATTTTAAATGGAATTCAATCTCTAAAAATATTATAAAAGTAAATAAAAGCAAAACATTTCTCATTTACTATACTAAAAAGAAATAATTAATGTTAAAACTAGTTTATTTAAAATAATTATCAGGAAAGTTAATGAATAGCCCATTGCAAATGAATAAAATGAATTTAACATATAAATTTAATTTATTTATCAATCAACTGGATCCAAATCAATTTGAAACACTATAATTAAATTTAATTATTGCTACTAAGAATTATTTCTAAATAGCCCTAGCCCACTGCTGTTATTTCTCCTATATAATTTTGAAGATTGATATGCATTTGACTAGACGTAGTTACAAGACTCAGTCTTTAATTAATGATTAGCATTTTTATTTTTAAATATTTATTAATACATATTATATCCTCTCTTTTCTGTTTATAATGGAAAAAATATTAATGCTAAAAAATGCATAACCTGCACTTTTTCTTTTTTTGAGTTACAGAAAAGTTTTGTTAATGTTTTTTTAAGCCTTTTTTTTTTTGAGTTGCAGAAAAGTTTTGTTAATGTTTTTTTAAGCGGATACCCTGCTTAGTCCAACTCTATCGAGAATAGGATAGCCTAAAAATATTTTAAAGGAGAAAGCAGTAGAGGCTGGCCCATGATCAAAAGGTGACCAATCCATTGAAGCGCTACAAGGAAGGCTTGCTGGAGGTGGTTTTAGTGTCTTAAAAATATTTTTAAATTTTTTTAATATTTTAATATTTTTTTCTTTAAATTAATAATATTTTTAAAATATTTTAATATAAAAATATAAAAAATATTTTTTAAAAAATAAAAATTATTATTTTAATATATTTTTAAATAAAAAACAATATAAATAATTATAATTTCACATAACCCCAAGGTGTTGATTTGATAATCAAGGAAATATGCTCCTTAATTTTCCAAGTTCAGGCCTTAAAAGTAGCATAAAGAAATAATTATTAATTGTTTCCAAATATATTAAGGGGAGTGTTTGTAAGAGAAGTTATTTTTTAAAATATTTTTTTTTAAAGATATATTAAAATAATATTTTAAAAAATTATTTTTAACATTAAAAGCACAAAAACAAAATTTCAAAAACTAGCCAAATAATAATTCAACCGCTGCTGCCAAACAGTCCCTAAGATTATGTAAAGATACATCTTTAAAACTGTTAAGAAAGAAGACTTGAAGGAGTATCAGAGGATCCTTATCATCGAATTAAAGGGGGGGGAAAAAGTTTCTCGAAGTATCATATTTACTAAAATCTAATATCCACACTTGAAACACAAAGTATGCCAAAAGTTTTCTTTTTTCTAAAAAAAAAAAAAGGATATTTCATAAGCTCAAGGGATACAAAAATACACAAATAGCTAACCACCGGATAATTACCCTCTACAACTAATCACATGAACCAATTAGGCTCCTAAAATCACTAAATGTAATGTAAGTATCCGTAACTGTATCCTGACAATTAAGATCTAGATAGCCTTAACAAGAATTTTGGTTCACTTTAAGACACGAGACAAAGCTCCACAAAAGCCTATTATCCAATTCAATCATGTATTTTATACAGGCAAGACATGGACGGATACAATTTTATACCTGCATTCGAAGCCTCCTTCAACTCCCAGGAAACTTGGTTGTTATGCCATAGCCACGATTATCCTCGCTTTACAGGCCTTTGAACATAGGATTTGTTGGGATCCTCAGTCTTGAGCTTAGGTGGTCGAATCTCTCCCTTTTTCCCCTGCAAAAAGAGTTAAAAAGAAGAGAAGTTTCAGGCCTGTTTTTATTGCTTGCTAAAAATAACACAAGTAGAAATTGTTGCCCATCTAGGCTCAACAAAATCAGTATTTAGTCTCACCTTCTTTCCCGTCTTCATAAAATCTCTCCAGCTTGAAACCTGGTGATCAATAACAACAATAATAATCAATGTGATGCCACATAATGATAAAAAGCTAAAAATCTCTATAACTGGTAGGTCAAACATTTTTCAATACATACCATTCTGCTTTTGAGGGGTAAGAAGTAGAAGAAATACGAAACATGAAATTTTCAAAAGATAAGAAGAAAGGATGGAGATAATGATACACAAGTCATAGCTAAACAGGTGAGATTTCCATCTCATGTTTGAACTGTAGCTCATACTCTCACGATCTATATAAATTAATTACTGCCCCCTATTTTTGCCTCATCCATATCTACACTAACACAGGCATATGCTTTCATGCAGTGCATGCATGAGTGTGCAATTCCACCTTATAAGGAGTGTTCAGAAGGAAGGAAATGGTGGTTGGTGTGGACAACATTGATAATTTTGTGAAAACGAGAAGAATGATCAGGCATGGACTTGTGAGAAAGAGAATGGCAAGAGAGGATGGTGACACAATGGTGGGTTTTCTTTTCCTAGTAACCGAATCAGCTGGGTGATAACTTTCTCCATTCAATAGGCCTAACCTGCTTTCCAATATAAGAGTTAGAAATATGAAATCAAATTTATGAAACAAGATATTTCAAATTGCGCACTTATTGAATGCTATTACTCAGAGAATTTAGATCTATCAGATACTGTAACCCTTAGATATAATTGGACAACTGAACAACAAAACACATATTTGAGGAAGAAACAGTTTAAACTCGAAAGTTTTTTAAATGTCACCAAATGGAATTAGATTTTGAAACAAATGCAGAAACAAACCCTCTTTTCTCTTGTTCCTTCCCACTGCTCCTCATGCTCACGCTTTCTTTTCCACATCTCCTTTTGTTCTTCTTCATCCTTCTTCAATCTACCCTCCTCTTCTGATATCTAATAACAAAAGAAAGAGGATCATGAAAGTGCGTGACTTTAAACAAGAACACCTGCAGGAAAAGAGAAAATAACAGATCATCCAGCATACCCTCATCTGCATTTTCCTCCTCCGCCATTCTTGATCAGTTAAAATTTCTCGAACCTTCAATTTGAGCTCCTGCTGGAACTCTTCTGACCATTCATATTGTTGATCATATTTTCCCTGTTCACATAAAGATGGATAAAAGTCAAGATTTCAACATACAACCCTTAAATTAAAAGGAGCAAAAGGAGGCTCAGTTCCATAGATGACAATTTATGGTTGAAGAACTGCTGGTGCAGTAACTACTTTCTTCTAAAAAAACAAGAACAATCCCTTCAAAGATACCAGGAACTCCAAACAAACATGGCAAGATTATTAGGTATATTGGAAAGTAAAAGATGCTAACTCAATATTACTGAAGCTATCAGATAGAAATCTTCCCCTTCAATATATCCGCCAAACTGTTAACAAATGTATATTTGAGAAAATAAAAATTTACCAACTCAATTTAACTCCGAAATGGCAATAAACAATACGGGTAAAAGAAACAAAAAGTTGTATAGATGGAAAGGGAGTAAAGTGGTGAGAAGGAAACATGACAATATGGTAAGATGAGAATCAACACGCAAAAAAGTCCCAGCATCACAAATTACATTTTGATTGTCGAAACATGAAAGTAGTAATGTGAAGAACTATTGTCAATTCTCATTTCTGAAGGTCAGGCAACAACTGTTTATTCCACAACTATTGTTCTACCCTGGCAACAAGGTTTAGCAACAACACGACTGATAGCATTTTTTTGATTAATAACATGTACCAACGCTATCCAAAAGTTTCTGGCTTTGATTAATAACTCAAAATTTCAACTGCTAAGTAAAACTTGATAGAAACCTCTCTTTTAAGTATATGACAACCAGAGGGTTTTGATAAGTTTTTGGAAAGTTAAAAGTGACTGTAGTTTTACCAAATTTTCTCCGAGAGGAAGCATTCAACATGTAATTACCCATTTGCTCGAAACCTATAGTATCCAACTTAAAAGATTGTTCATTTTTAAAACTCCAATTTGTGCATCAAGAATGATCTATAGGCACAAATACAAAATGCAATCAAGGGAAAAATATATAATTAAAACTCACAGACCTCATCAACCAATGACTTTATTTTGGAGGCTGTATCTTTCTTCAACTGCTTCTTCCTCTTTGCTCGAAGTTCTTCTGCAAATTCACATTACTTTATCTATAACCACAAAAGAAAAAAAGAAAGAACATGAAACAATGTGAACAAAAATGCTCCCATTCAACATGAAGAGGACAACAGAGAGCACAGCCACGTTTTTTAATATTTCAGTATAAACCCCTTCAAATGTTGCTACAGCAGCAAATACTTTAGAAAATGCAAACGCATCTTAATTATGGCCCAAATATACCTGCCACATAGATGGAAGGAACATACAGGATATATGTTCCAGCAATGAAGAAAGGGGAAAGGAAAATAAACAAGATGCATAAACAAACATGAAACCACCCAAAAAAATTTCCCTTTTCATTTTCAAGAAAAATTGTTTACAGTCCATTAAAACAGAAAGGCGAAAGTAAATTATAAAACCTTTAGCACTAACCTTTAGCTGCGTTAACCTGGGCAAGAACATAATCTCTTTCTTGTTCATCAAGTAAGAGTTTCTGGGCTTTTGCTAATGCTGCTCACAATTTAACAATGCCATGTGAGTGAATCATTATAGAATACTTCAAGAAGGAAACAAGTACATAGTTATGTATCTTTACATAATGCATGTTTATGATTGCTATTCCTTACCCATTATAAAAAATCACAAACAACCACAAAATACAGAACATATTGAAATGAGTCTCCTTAAATTAGAGTTAAGGCTAGCACAACATGAACAAAGTCTAAAACCCACAACCACACCAGTCAGGTCATTCTTCAAATTTCTGACTCTGTTTCAAAACCCTACACATCATTTTTAATCCTTCAGAGTCCCCCCGCAGAGGTTCCCTGCACCTCTCTGCTTTCTGCCACTGTAGCTCTTGCCTCACTGTGCCTAAATGACAGAATAATATTGTTGTGGAGGACCACAAGCATTGTAATCTAATCTGAATAGAAAAAGTTCTTAAATAATGACTAATTTTGACCTTTGTGAAGAACAGAACTTGTCAATTATCAGTTTCTGTGCATACAGCTTCCAAGAGCTTTACCAAAGCTGGTCTTAATAGAGTAACAAAATTATCTGGATGCCTAATCCAACATTGTCCCGCCCATCTTTCAACCATGACACCAAGACAACATCAAATTACCATCAATATGCCATCATTTAATGATTCCCCTTTACTTCAAATCCTCTGCACCTTGACAGTATGCCAGTTTCATTATGCCAGAGAATCATTCCACAAAAAAATTATAAAACTTACAACTTCAAGTAATTTTCTACACTTCAAATCAGAAAATAACAGTTATGGTTGCACTAACCAGGTTTTCTCAAAATGTATAGTTCTACAAAGGCTGACATTTTTGGGTGTGATAGGTTGGGTGAAATCTGGTCCCAAAACCAAGCTTCTTTACATGGCCCCACTTGCTTACATTTTGAGTTGCAACCAAGTTAACTCAGTCCCCTATTGACAAAATGATGCATATGAACTTGCTGTTTGGATCTGGTCTGTGAATTTGACCCATCCCATTTGCAAAATGATGGATTGAGCTAAGTTCACGTTAGGTTGGGTCGGGTTTGGTTCAAAATATTTGGGCTAATCCAGTTTTTCCAGTTCTAAACTCAACTTGTCAAAACCACAGCAGAAAAACTTGAGTTGGAGTTGAAATCTTTTCAAGTCAATGCAAAAGTTGGCATTTCCAGTTTGTAAATAGAAAACCCAAATGCTAAAAGAAAATAAGCCAACCACAAGATTCATACTATCAAACCATGCAAGATATTATGCACAGCTAATTTACCTGCAAAAGCTTCTTTCGCTTGCGGATGCTTGCACTTATCAGGGTGAACCAACAAAGATAACTGCACATGAATTAGACATAGAGCTTGTGAATAAGATGCAAAAATAATGAATGTAATAATCATAACATTAAATTCCAACCTATCAAAAACAGTTACCTTACGATACTGCTTTTTGAGATCCTCTGGAGATGCTTCAAATGGTAAATTTAGATACTCAAATGGATTTAACTTGAAGCATGAAAGAATCCTAAAATGTTCAAATTTTTTCCAAAGAGACAGAACAAAATTAGAAGAGAATAAAACGAATTCTGCCAAATGAGAGGTAAACATTTCAAGCATGACGAGAGGCCAATTGCGATGATATAATCAATAGTTCAAAGACCATCGCATTATTCTAAAAGTATCATCAAACGAAAAATTCAAGTAAAATAATCCTACACAGATGAATTGGTCATCTCTAACTATTCCATCGCTAAAGCTTTCAACTCCTATCCTTCTTCAATGTTTAAAAATTTTACTTTCTCAAAATTAATATTCATGCACAAATTTCAAAATCTCACTTCTATAATTTGCATATCAAAATAATCATTCGATCGAAAAGCAATAGAAATATACAAATCACGAGTAGATTAATTGCAGGCGTTTACATATGTGAAATCGAATGAGAAATTCTGTTTTCATTCAAAATCATAAACTAGAAAACCCTAATTAAGTGGGAAATTATAATTCAAATGCATACATACATGAAAATAAATAAGTAAATACAGGGGGAGAGAGAGGGACATAGAGAGGAGAGACCTGGCGACTTCGTTATCTCGCTCGACTTCGCTGACTTCCGCGAAGAAGCTCTTGAGAAGCAAATCATCGTAGGCGGTGGCGGAGGATTTTGTATCTCCCATCGCGCTCGCTTTTAGCTGCTTTTACGCTCTCTTTTTTCTTGTCTCTTGCTTCTCTGTCTATCGTTTCCTATGTTTTTCGTCAATGGAGGTCCATCAAATCCAACCCGAGTATTGACCCCCATAAAAAAACAGATTTTAAATTTTATAGATTAATTTGAATTAATTTAAAAAAAAATTAAAATATATTTAAATTTTTAATATTTTATAAAAAAATTATATGAATATAGATTATGTATATTGTAAAAAAAAAAAATATATGAATATAGATTATGTATATTGTAAATAAAATATTTTTTTGATATTTATATAATAAATTTTAAAAAATATTAATAATCAGCTAAAAAATATTAAAAAAAGTGTAAAAAATATTTACATTAAAAAAAAACCTGAAAACCTCCTGTTTCATTAAACAAACAATTATTCTCAAACCCAATCTCATCACCAGCACCACCTTCACCCATTCCATCATTCTGCATCAGCAATTGATCATCCTCATCCAAAAGCAACTTTCTTTCTCAGATGCTTGCGTTATTGTTCTTCATATTTATTTTTGCTCCTATTATTCTTGATTTATTTCTCATCTTTATCCTCCATACTTCACTACTCGTAACTGCTGCTTTTTTTTCTTGCCTAAACGTAATCCATTTTTTGTGGTTGAATTTGCTGTTCCAGGTTGGCCATGATATTGCTTGCCTTTTCTTTCTTCAATCACTTTTTTTTATTATCATCAAGACTTAGTTGTGGGCTTGGATGCAAGAACAGTGAACTTTAGGCCATGTCTCTGTTAT